GGAAAACATCACACCGTGGCTGATTTCCTCCTGCCCAAACTGGGCTCTCTCTTGTATCAGGAGATGGTGATTTAAGGAATTCTTTGTGCTGGTGTTTGTTGGGTTTTGCATCACTTATTAGTGGTTTGCTGTCTGTTTTTTCTTAGAGCTAGGATTAAGAGAAACACGATTGAGGTAATTTTCGTGTTAGGGCTTGGATGTTTATTGTATTTTATCAGAAATTACAGAAAATATGACAGCACTTTTAGCTCTTTGCTAGAAGTAAGAAAAATGGCTCCAGCTGAGCCTGCTTCAAGGCTTTTTAAAGATAAAGAAACCAATAGAAGTTTAACACTTATATTATTTGTCCTTTTGACTTAATAATAGATTCTCAACGACTCTTTGAGTGACTTTTGACTGACCAACTAAAGACTACTACCTGAGTTTTGTGAAGAAGAAGAAGAAGATGAACAAAGAAAAAGATACTACCCAAAATATTCCATTTTGTTTCATAACTACCACTACACATAAAACCCTCAAATTTAAAATACACACATCTAACCCTCTACACATTTGTGATTTCTAACTCACTATTCATATTTACAAGCTTTCTCCAAGGTTTCAGCTCCAGAGCAGTGTTTTCTAGGGAGTCTGTGCCTGGGAGCACAGAAAGCTCAAAAAACTCCAGATTTTTGAGATCCAACATTCCCCAGTAAATTCCCAGGATGCTGAAGCAGCAGCAGCAGTCCTGGCTTGGGGGTCTTGCAGGTTCATACCCCAGGCAAAAGCACAAATGACTGATCCAGAACAAGCAGGTGTGGTTTGTGTTCCCCTCACGCTCTGGGCTGCTCTGGTTTGGCAGCCAAGGTCCAAACCATGGCACAGGGAAATGCAAACACAGAGATGGGAGGCTGGAAGCTGCTGCTGAGACCTTGGTTTACAAATTGCAGGTGGTGCCCAGCCCAGGGGGGTGTGCAGGTGCCTGGAAGGTGCTGGGAAGTGCCCAGGTGTGCAGGGAGAAGAGCAAACAGGAGCTGAGCAGTGGCAGAAAACACAGGATTGTGCAGCTGGAATAAATCCTCCTTGCTCTGAGGATTGCTTTGGCCTGTGCTGGGACTGTTCCCATCAGTGTTGTGCTTGTGGGGTGCCATTATCCAGCTGGGGAATGGGATCTCTGCCTTCCTCCCCAGCCAAGTGTTCCCCAGCCCAGCTGGTTTGTTTTTTCAAACCTGAGAGAGTTTATTTGAGAAGTTTTTGTTTTGGTTTTTTTTTTCTGGTTGCTCAGAGATACCATCAGTTCGTCTCTGATTTTGGGGTCAAGTTTCTGCCTGAGGCTGGGGATGTTTGGCCTGAGGGTTTGTTTTGTTCTTTATGAGTTTAGGGGCAAAGCAGAAAATGACTCCCTGTAATTCCAGGCTGTGAAGCCTCCTCTCCCTGGCAGGGGTGGCACAGAGAGGTCTCTGCCCAGACTTATCAGTGTTGGGCAGAGCTCCTGATTTGCTTAGAAGCAAAATCTGTTTGTTCTGGAAATGCTCAGTGCTGGCTGTGAGCCCTCAGCTCATTCCCACTCCCAGGGTCACTCCTGGAGTGCCCAGGGCTGGAAAGTTCCTCCTATGCAAAGTGTTCTCTAGCCCAGCTGGGTCAGTTTGTTTTTTCAAATAAATAAAAGTTTGTTTTAGAGTTTTCTAGATGCTCAGAGATACCATCAGCCATAAACAATGCCATAGGAAATAAAAGAGCAGTGAACATGATAATTTATTTTCTATTAGGCTATGGTTTATTTTAAAATCTGTAATTCCTAAAAGAAAGTGTTGAAAGTAAGGAAGAGAAGTGGTGAAATTTTATTGAAGTGGTGTGGTTTATTCTTTTCAAAAAATCCCATTTCTTTACTCACTTATTTTTTTCCAAAGCGACCAGTCAGTGTGAGGAACCCACTTTGAACCTTGTTTATTTTATTTTATTTTATTTTAATTTTCTTTCTTTTTCCCATGAAGTACAGAACTTGATTCCTTTTTGAACCCCATGCAGGGCCCTCGTGCCTCATTTTGTGGTGCTGTTTTGCAGCAATGATCTCTCTGGTCACTAAATGATCAGCTGGGTGGGTGGATTTAACTCATGCCCACAAATACAAGAATTATTGTATTCACACACTGGAATTTCAGGAATGTGAAGGGCATCCCTCACTTGTCATGGCAAAACCATCAGAAATTTCCCCACTAACCCTTTGCAGGTCACTGGTAGAGGAAAGTGTGCATCACCTGCATTTGGTACCTTTATACTCCTATTTATATTCCTGCCATCTTATTGTCAGTGGGATGTTATATATAGCTTTTATGGTAATTTTGTGTGCTGAATGCAGTTTCCAGGGAGGAAACTGCAATGAGAAATGGGTGAAGAAGTAATAATAATAGCAATAATCTGCATAAGCCCCCATTGTTAAAACCCACAGCCCTACATCTCCTGGAAGAAAAATGCACAGATAAGAGAAGAGTTTTCCAAACAACGTCTTCAAATGACTTGGAGGGTGACTTTTGGCAAGGGATGGAGTGGCAGGACAAGGGAAAAATGGCTTTAAACTGTCAGAGATTGGGGTTAGATGGATTTTGGGGAGGAATTCTTGGCTGTGAGGGTGGTGAGGCTCTGGCACAGGGTACCCAGAGAAGCTGTGGCTGCCCCATCCCTGAAGGGTTCAGGGGCAGGTTGGAATATCTGGTTTTGTTGTTTTGGTCTGTCCTGGTATTCCAGAAGCAGGGAAAAGCCTCAGCTGGGATCAGGGACCCTCGTGCTGCCCTGTGGGTGTGGAACAGGTCCTGACCAAACACCAGAGCCAGAAGTCAAGTCTGGTTTGCCTGCAAATAATAATCTGGTTTACAGGGCAAAATGAGACACAGTTTAGCAAACACTTAAGGGCTGACTTACTTCTAAGAATGTTGTTTAATCATGTTGAAATTGAGAGGATTACTTCTCCTTGAATGCATGCTTAAGCACTTCCCTGGCTGGGGGCTGGGATCTGTGAGGAGCTGGCCTTGCACTTGTTTTGTCTTGCTCTTAGCAGGAGTTGTTGTTTGGAAAAATATTCCCTGATATTGGGACAGTCACTGTTGGGCCTTGTGGAGATGCTTCAAGGAGGTTTTTTTGTGCCTGAGCCCTCACACTGGGTGGCTTGGCTTTCTCACCTGAGCGTGGATTTGGGATCCTCATTGGGCTGTGCTGGCTCCTCACTTCTTTATCTGAGTGTGGATTTGGGATCTTTGCTGGTCTGTGCTGGCTCCTCACTTCTTTATCTGAGTGTGGATTTAGGATCTGTGCTGATCTGGGCTGTGCTGGCTCCTCACTTTCTCCCCTGAGTGTGGATTTGGGATCTGTGCTGCTCCTCACGTTTTTACCTGAGTGTGGATTTGGGATCCTCACTGTGCTGTGCTGGCTCCTCACTGGAACCAGTGGCCAGGCTTTGATGTGCCAGGATGTGCAGAGCTTGGGGCTGTTCAAAGAACAAAGGGAAGTTTGTTGGTGAGGAGAACAGGGAGCTTTTCTCTTAAATTTCCCTGGAAGTCAAACCCCGCGGTGGAACTGTCTGATTCATAAACTGGATTTTTACTTCAGAAGGCTAAAAATAGAGCAGGGAAGAGACTCATTCAGTCAGTCTAGGACTTCCCTGGCACTATTTTAAGCCCCCTGGAGCAGGGCTGGGGGTGCCAGTGGAGTCTCCAGTCTCTGTGCCCTGTCTGGGTTTGATGTTCCAGGTACCACTCGTGGTGTTCTGTGCCATGATGAGCCCTGGAGCCTTTCGGGGATGTTCTGTTCCCTGTTTTCCATGTGCAAATCACCTGTTAAACACCAAACTGTGGCAGATTTTTGCTTTAGCTCCACGTGTGAGGCACCAGTTCCACAGGCCAGGCTGGAGTTCATGGCAGATGACAAATGGGAGGGGATGAAGGTTGCAAAAGTGTGGAGGAAAAGGAGGGGGTGAGACAAGGCGCTCATGGATGTCCTGGGATAAAAGTGTGGGAGGCAGAGAGGCTCTGAGTTCATCCCAGAGCAAATCCAGGGATGTGGTCCCTGGGTGGGTGGTGTGGAGGTGGCTCAGGGGAGCATCCCAAAGTAAAATTCCCAAATAAAGGAACCTGAGGGGTCCCTGTGGCTGGGTTGGGTGAAGGGCAGCTCCAGGGGCAGCAGCAGCCCCCAGGGGGTTGGGTTTGCCCACTCAAGAAGCCCTTTATCCATATCCCATCCCAGCAGGTTGGAAACCAGTCCAAAAATAACAAGTTTGTTTTTATCACTCCAGCTCTGAAATGGTGAATGTGAACAGGAATAAAACACACACTTTAAATCTACAAGGGACTCAAACCCATTCTTTGTTTCCTCATCATTGAAAATTCCCCATAGCAATTAAAACTTCCATCAAAAATGGGAGTTTTTCTGAAAATCCTGGTGGTTTTATTGCTTCTGATTGCAGTGCTGATGAGAATATTTTGGTGTTGACTCATTCCTGGCTGTTTTCTGCCAGAAAAGGGCGATGGTCTGCACTCACCTCTGACAAACTGATGATACATCTTTATTGAATTGCAAGAAGTCAGAGCTCTTCAGTCTTGGCAAGTTTGCCTCAATAAGATCATTTTGTGTGAGGAGAGACACGAAAGGAGTTGTAAACCTTTTGTGATAAAATACAAACGAAGAGGGTTTTCTCAATGCTTCTTAGTGCTGCATAAAACCTGTCAGGGCAGGTCTGGGCTCGTTAAATGAGTGTGGGGATGGAGTTTCCTTGGATGGAGCTGTTCAATAATGCCTTTGTAGATGAGGGTTAAATGTCTTTTGTGCTCAGTGGTGGAACCTAAAGCAGAGTTTGCACTGGCAGCGTCCTCCCAGCCCTGATGGTGACACTGTGACACTGGGGGGGCACTGGAGCACATCCATTCCAGGGGGGATTCAGCTCCAAGCACCAGGCTGGGGGTCCTTGGGCTCCCACCAAACCTTCCTGTGTCCTCAGTAAGCACAGCAGCATCTTTTTCTCTCATTTCCAGGTGATCTCTGCAGTATCCAGGCTCTCCTTCCACAGTATTGCTCAAACCAAAGGAATTAGGTAAGATCCTTTCAATATGATGCTTTCAATAACATCTCTCTCTCTCTGCCTCTCCATATTCCTTGTATTTAATCACATCAGACTCTTTAGAAGCTGCACATAATGGGGTTAAACAGACCCCTTTGGGATGTGGGCAGGATCCTTACAACTGCTTGGGAATAGTTTCAGATGAAATAAGTGAAAATATGAGGAATTGTGTGCACTGCTCCTGCTGGGGAGGGCTGCAGGGGGAGTTTTGGTGTCTCTACCTGGAAGTTTTGCTCAACTTCACCAGGGATCCCAGGGAAGCCAGCAGTAAGAGCCAAAAATGAGGGATGGGGGCTCCAGGTGACTCTTTAAGATGCTGTTTATTTTATCCAAATGATCCAGCGATTTATTTATTATTTAAAATGCTGTTTATTTTATCCAAATGATCCAACAATTCACGGGGTTGTGGGTGACAAGAGCCCAGCCCACAACCTGTCACCCTCAGCTGTGGGCTCATTTGAAACCATCTCTAGTTCTGGTTACAATGCATTAAATACTTTTAATTGCAGAACATCTTAATACACGACAACCAATCAATACCTTTACTGTTACCTGTAGCCTATCCTAACTGCTAACATCACCATATTCATGTCACTGTTTTCCAATCACAAAAGGTTGGCATGTTACAGTGTAAGCTAGAAGTTGTTTTTCAGTTTTCTGGGAATGGAAAATTCTGAGGTCTTTTCTTTACTTACAGCATTGGCTTTCTTGTTTGTGAAAATCTTTTTGCTTGGTAAAACCATCTTTTGTTTGAGGTGGGTTTATCCTTTGCTCTAAGTCATAAAAGCCCCTTCCAACTCACTTTGCTCTTTGCTTTCTCGTTACCCAGTCACACTGGCTCAGCAATTCTTTTATATCAAAACTTGCTATCATTTCTATTCCTTCTTCACATTCCACATTCAAAAATCTTTCTGTTATACACACACACACCTGTGACACCTTCCTGTCCAATCCTTATCCTTCCCAACAGCCAGCAGTGCCCAGGAGCTGTGGCATCACCTCATTGTCCCCACTGTCCCCACTGTCCCCACTGTCCCCTGCCCCTGTGCAGGAGAGCCCAGGCACCTTTCTGCCCTTACCAGCAGGGAAATGCCCCCCTGGCTTTGTCCTTGGTGAGGGGCAGGAGTGCCCTGGCACCCGGGGTGTGCTGCCTGCTCCTCCTCTGCTGGCTCAGGGAGCAGTGCAGAAGGAATTAAAAGCAGCAGACAGCTCCTATTAAGCAGAGCTGTTATCCTGCTCTTTGTTCAGCTCCCTGCAAAATTGCTTTGCAATTGCTTTCCTTGTTAGAGTGCATTTGTGTTATTAATCTGGGAACATCTCATTAGGGCCACGGCTATAACAGGGATGAGTTTGCAGCCTAAATTACCTTTCCTCGGTTTCTTTTTTGGGGGGAGTGTGTGTGTTTACACCCCCCAGCTACAGAACACATTTGATTTTCTCCACAGCATGTGTCCTGCTGCTGTTTTGGGTGGGGACCTGTGGTGCATCCCAAGCCAGGCACAGCCAGGATGAAGGGATTCAGGCTGGATGGGGGCCCTGCCCCACTCCCAGCCCTGCCACCCATCCCCAGCACCCCCTGCCACGATTCCCACTGTTGGAACATATTTTCCCTGCCTTGTCTGCACTGAGATTGCTGGAGGGGAACAGCTTTTCACGTGTAAAACCAGCTCAGAGCCTTCCCATCTGTTAAACACGGATCTGACAGATCCCAGCAGGGCTGGGGGAGATGCAGGGGGTGAAGGTTTGAGGAAGAAAGATGTGCTGTAAGTTAAGGATTGTTTGTTATGATGATAGCCCTGAGTCCTGGAGGAGCCTGCAGTGATTTTTGTTTTAAGGGAAAAGCACATCCAAGGAGTTTGGAGGCTGGGAGCAGTGGGGGATTCACTGCAGTGCCTCAGCAAGGGCTGGGTTTAAGTTTTGGGGCATCACTGGGAGGGTTCCAGGGTGTCACCCCTGGCCAAGCTCTTCCCAAGGCAGGGAGGGAGATCCTGGATGCAGCTCAGAGGATGGAGGAGCTGCCATGCCCTGGGAAAGCTTTGGCTGAGCCCCTGTTGGTTGTGTTGAGGGCTGGGCATAGCTGGGATCCAGAGACAAGGGAGGCTTTGCTATTCCTGTGGGTATGTGGCTTTTTCTCATTCATTTTACAACTGGCATTTACAGTTCCCACTAAAATCCTTTATCTTGGAAGCCTTTGGCACCATAATTACACAAGAATAGCAGAGAGCTTAGCGAGCCTTTGCTTCTAACCCTGTTTTCCTGTGTATTAACCCTGTTTCTCCTCCAGCTCTGCAGGAACAGAAAATGCTGTCACTCCTTTAGCTGGAAAATAGAACAGACTAGAAATGAATTCTGTAATTCCAGGGAAATTTCCTCCTGGGAGTGTTCCCTCCCAGCTCGCTGTCCCCTGCAGCCACAGAGCCCTGGCTTTGTCCATGGCTGCATCTTCTTTCCTTTAAATTAGGTGATTTCTTGCTGCACCATCACAAACCCCTCAATGACAGAAACTAATCTCAAATGAATTAATCTGAATTAATCTAATCTTGTGGGAACCAGCAGCAGCTCTGGCTCCCTGAAGGGATTGCTCACATCAGCCACCACTGCCCCTTGGCTGGTTGGGGTCCATCCTCTTCCCTCTCCCAGTGAAGATGTTTCCATTGGAAATGGGAAAAATCTTGTTGGCTTAGGCACAGTGCTTAAAACCACGGTAAATCCAGTGAAATTCAGGTGCTGGGTGGATGGTATGGTGTTCAGCCCCACAGCATGAATGTGGCTCTGCTCCAATCCCTATTTTAGGGTCTGAGGATCAGGATCACGCAAATTAAGAGTGAAATAAATCCCAAAGCCTGTTACTTGTCCTTAAATAAGTTTCATGGCGTGGAGAAAAATACAAATCAATCTTGTGTGCTGTTCAGTGAAAAAAAAAAAATCACTCTTACTGTCTTAATAATTTCTGCCTACAGGAACCTTGGCAGAGGAGCCCTGTTTCCCAGAGTAGTGCAGATCAGGATAGCTCTGTGGAGATGACAGAGTGTTTCTTCCAAGAAACAAGCAGCAAAAACAGGGCAAGAACTCCATCCTGAATGCAGAGTTTTATTTGCAATGTGCCTAATGTGCAGCAGCTGTAGCTACAGCCCTGCTGTGAACCATCCTCTGCCTGCCTTGTCCCCATCCCAGGGCTGCTCCCACAAATCCTGCAGGAACCAGGCTCTCTGCTGATGGGATGGGAACTTTTTGCTGGGATTTTGATCCCTCTGTTGTCCCAAAGGGTTACACAGAGGGACAGAGAGCAGATCCTCATCGCTCGGGAGAGGTTTATTGAATTGTTATTGGTTCTCATCCTTCCCTCCATCTTTCTGGAGGGTTCTCAGCGATTCCAGGGAGAAGTTCCACTGTGCTCCATGCCTGGCTGTCCCTGAACAAGGAGCCTTTATTATCCAGCCAGGATTTTCCACTGCAGCCCTGATTCCATTACCCCATTCCCACGCTGACTGGCACTTCCCAGCCAGCCTGGAGGATTCTGTAGCAGCGTGGTCTTTGCTCAGGAATGTCGTGCAAAGCTTCTCCTGTGCTTTGGAGCAAGAATTTTCATTCCCTTCCCGATTTTCATTCCAAGTTTTCTTGAGCAAACTCAGCTCTCTGGAGGACACCAAGACTTCTTATTGCAGGTCCCAATAAACCAGGATTATAATTCTTTTCTTAAAGCTTTTTTTTTTTTTTTTTTTTTTCTGTTTTCCCTGAAGATTTTCCTGCCGCAGCCACGGCTGTTCCCTGCTGCCTGTGGCATCCTCTGGGCTCCATCACCCTCCTCGTGCTCTGGGGGCTGAAAGTGAGCTCTGAGCAGAGGAGGGGGCATGTGTTTATTCATCTCCCTGAGATCTGTGTTTTTCCTGGAAGCAGAGTTCTGCAAGCAAAGCAGGAGGTTCAGGAATATTGGCTCGTGCTGCCTGCATGCATTTTTCATGTGTGCACAGCAAAGCCCAGCTGAGAAGGGGAAGGGGTTTGCATGTTCAGAGGCCTTTATGGAGGCCCTAAATCTGAGTAAATCCTTTCTATATGAACTGAACCTCTCAGTGACTCTCCTCAGAAGGCACCACACTTCATAAAGGAGTGTAAAAACTCTTGCAGATGGGCAGGAGGGTGAATCCTGGTTGTCAGAAGTTTTCTCTCACAGGAGCAGTGGAAATGCTTTGGCTGGGCCATGGAGGGATGGACACAGGGATGAGTTTTGTCCCTTTTGGGGCCAAGGCAGGACTCTTTTGGGTCAGTTGGAAGAAAAAGTGCCCAGTCCAGATGCAGTGGCTGTCAGGGCTGGGTTGCCCATACCCTGTGGAATGGCCATCTTGGCCATCCTGGCTCTGTTTCTTTGCCACAGGCTGCCCAGAGAAGCTGTGCATGCTCCAGCCCTGGGTGGGGCTCTGAGCAACCTGCTTTAGTGGAAGCTGGGTTAGGGAGATTGCAATGAGATGATCCTTATGGTCCCTTCCAAACCATTCCAGGATTGTGTGATTTTTTTTTTCCCCATCTCCACAGTGCAGACAGAGAGGGGAGAGGAGAAAAGCTCAAGACTGGGATTAGCCCAGCTCAGAGCCACCTCCAGGGCAGCCAAAGGAGTGCCAGCATCCTGCCTGCCGTGAGGATTGATGCAGAGGAGATCCCTCAGGGCTCATCCCTGCTCCCTCTGCCCAGGTAAAGCACGGAAAAGGCTCAAAATGAGGATTGCAGCACTGCCAGCCCTGGAGTTTCTGTACTGAACAGCTCGCCAGTAATATCAGGATGTGTGGGGGGAAAGGGAGGAGGGATGGGAAGGGAGAGGCAGAGCAGCATTCCTGGCAGGAGGTGCCCACAGGAGAGGGGCAGGGGGCACAGGGAGCTGGACCTGCAGCCCCTGCCCTGCCAAACTCGAGTGTCTGTGACCCCAGCGTGTGCCACTGGGTGATCAGCAAATTCCTCAGTGATCCAGCCTCCAGTTCCGA